TATATATATATGTATATATATATATATATATATATATATATATATATAATCAAGTAGTTGATTTTATATATTCATTATATATTATATTATATATTATATTCATAATGAATATGATTAGGATCACTTTTATGATATGTCTGATGCATTATTATTCTTAATCTCCTCAGTTTTGTAAAATGATTTTAAGTTTTTTTTTGTAATGTGGTGTAATATGGCGAATATATATCCAGGTTTCCTGAATATTGAAAGGGAAGTACCTGTTTTGGTATATATAATGTTGTTGTTTCAGTACCTTTATATATATCGTGGAGATGGTTGTCATAATTTCATAAATTACATTAATCCTAAATATTGTCATTATTATCAGACAAGCATATAGGCAACATTGGTTTGTCTGTTTTTCTGTTTTGTTGCCTATCTTTCAATACTATGGGATTGGTTGGTACAAGTGCACAATATAACTTTAGTAATGAATGAATGAATGAATGAATGAAAAGAAAGAAAGAAAGAAAAAGAAAGAAAGAAAAAAGGAAGAAAGTACGAACGAACGAACGAAAGCCTTAGTACTGTGATAGCTGATTTGGACACAGAAAGGCTATACTGTATGTTGCACATTATCACCACAGTCAAAGTGCTCTTCAAAGTTTAAAAGTAAAATACAATTATCTATCTATCTATCTATCTATCTATCTATCTATCTATCTATCTATTTTATTTTTTTCTTTTATTTTTGAAAAATCCACCTGCTGACCTATCAAATGAAATGACCTCTTTTGTAATAACGAAAAGAAAGAAAAAAGGAAGAAAGTACGAACGAACGAACGAAAGCCTTAGTACTGTGATAGCTGATTTGGACACAGAAAGGCTATACTGTATGTTGCACATTATCACCACAGTCAAAGTGCTCTTCAAAGTTTAAAAGTAAAATACAATTATCTATCTATCTATCTATCTATCTATCTATCTATCTATCTATCTATTTTATTTTTTTCTTTTATTTTTGAAAAATCCACCTGCTGACCTATCAAATGAAATGACCTCTTTTGTAATAACGAAATTACATCCGACCTTTAAAGCTGAGAGTACTGTAATTTTCCACTCAAAATTTCCATGTATCTGTGGTGGATATGAAATTAGTTTATCAGTCATGGCTCATCCAAACGTCAATCAATTTAGTCTTTTTTATTTTTAACTTATTTATAATGACTAGAAAGAGGCCGGTGTAGAAAGAGAAATCTGGATGAAGAAATGGATACAGTATTTGTCTGGTTTTGTGTGGAGGAGCTGGATGGGTAGACAGCCCAGGCTTTGTGGCTTTACGAGAGGTCAGGTTCCTTCATGGGCTCACGTCATTGCTATTAAAGGGCTATCTGAACAGCGAGGCCCGAGTGTGTTAAAAAGACCAGGATACTTCATGCGCGCACATGCACACAATGAAAATGCCAACAAAAATATGGCAAGCCCAATAGAGCTGCGGACAAGGGTTTAAAATAACTGATTGAGTTAAATATGCTACCATAATTCATGGTGAACACGAGATTTGTGCTTTCCTGATTATCACAAAATACAGCAGCAGAAGCAATGTAAGAACAATGTTAATGAAACTACAAAAAACAAAGCACACTTTATCCCCAATGTCAAAACTCTCCCAAAACTATAGCCAGGCATTGGCCATCATTAAATTAAGGCCTGTCTCTCAGCAACAGAACGACCATTTGTGGTCTGCAGTGAAATCAAGTCAACTACTCCATGTTTACAAAATCTAATCACACAGGGATGAAGTTATTTGATGGGGGCTGTTTCAAACATATTTTTAGCATAAGATATTCAAGATGGTGCAAAATACAGAAGGCTAAAAAAGTGCACTCTAAACAGTGTCCAGAGGGCCACACCTTTCTCTGGACATGCAGCACAGAGGTTGTACACCTTATTGCCAAACCTCAGATACTTAGCCATACTGTAGTTACCAGAACTCTGTTTCATGTAAATATTGAGAAAAAAGGTACAAAAGCTGTCACTGGGGCGGTACCCTTTCAGTCTGTTTTGGCTCGGTTCAATTCGATTTGGTGAGCTGGTTCATCCAGTTCACTAATGGAGTTTTTCCACTGCATGGTACGGCATGGTACGGTTCACTTTTGGGAGGTTTTCCACTGGGTACAGTACCTGGTACCTGGTACTTTTTTTAGTATCACCTCGGTTGAGGTTCCAAGTGAACTGTACCGTTACCAAAACGTGACATGTAAACTCTGCTGATCACGGATTGGCTGGAGAGAATCGTCACTACCTGCGTCACTGAACTTGCGACACAAACACAACAGAACCGCTAGATTTAAATCAGCACAGCCAGCGAAGGATCGAACGCAACTGTTTTGAACAAGCGCACCTTTTTTAACAACCAAAAAGTGGCTGTTTCGTTGTCTGTTG